TAAATTAAAATGTTAAAATCAAATCTGATATTGTTTTACCTTTTATTTGGTGTGTGGAAGGTGTGCGGAAGAGGGGGTAGTCTTATACGGCGAGTATATAACAAACTCTGTATTTTGAGTGGAAATGTTAGGGGGTCGTCTTATACGCCCAGTCGTCTTATACGCCGGCAAATACGGTATTTTTTACTTTGAAATGATGTTAATGACTTAAATATTTTTTTAAAACCCATTAAAACAAAGCAATTGATAAGCAAAACCGAAATGTATGTCAAGTAGATGATATAACCACATTAAAAAGACAGAATTATTTGAGTGGTGTTAGAATTTTTTATAATTTGTACAGAGAACTTTAAGTACAACAGAGCTGCAAAAAGAGTCAAATTTAATTCAAAAGTCTTCTTAGTAGTAATTATATTAGTATTATTTCGAAACTATTTTAAAAGTTTTTGTTGATTTTTTTTTTAGAGAGAAAAGAAGGGAGAGAACATTGATAAGAGAGAAACATCAATTGGCTGCCTCCTACACACACCCCACTGAGGATTTCAGGCATGTGCCCTGACTAGGAACCAGGTAATCTCTTGGTTCATGGATCAACACTCAACCACTGAGCCACACCAGATGGGCAACTTTCTGTTGTAAGTATTACATAGCCCCCCCTCCCAACTGACCCCTTGTAGTCAGCCCCTACCCCCACCCAGGCCTTCACCACCGTATTGTCCGTGTCCATAGGTTATGCATATATGCATATAAGTTTTCTGGTTGATCTCTTCCTACCCACCCCCACTTTCCTTCTGATTTTTAATTAATGTATTTTTGAACAAATACTTATTCATTATCTCCTATGTACTAGGTACTAGAAAAAAGTGAAGAATATAAACATTATCCTTGCTCTCATGGAGTTTCTATCTTTAAAGCAAGCAGTCCAACAAAATACATTGCCTATGGTGGCTTTATTCCAGAAAGGCAGTTAGGTAGCTGTGACAAAAAACTTAAAGACACCTCAAAGCCTAAATATTTACTACCCAATCCTTCACAAATACTTTGCTACCTTTGTTCTAAACAGCAAAAATACATTTAATAAACAACAGAGTTTTGAGTTATAAAGATAAATTTAAGGAAATGAATGTGAAACTAGAAAAACTAGGTCATGTGTGAAATCTTGCAGGTCTATTAAAATTCCACAGCTAACATCATACCTAAGGAAAGACTGAAAGCTTTACTTCTACTCAACACATTATTGAAAGTTCTAGCCAGGGTAATCAGGAAAAAAAATAAAAGAATGCATTTGGAAAGGAAAACATAAAATGATCTCTGTTTATATGACAGTATCTTATATATATAGAAAACCCTAAAGATTTCACAAAAAATAGTTAAGAGTTAGAAAATTCAGTAAACTTGTGGGATACAAAATCATATTCATGGATTGTTGAGATGACAATAATACCCAACTGATCTACAAATTCGATATAATCCTTATCCAAACCCTAGTGACATGTTTTGCAGAAATAGAGAACCCATTCCAAATTCATATAAAATCTCAAGGATCCCAAAGAGCCAAAACAATCTTGAAAAGGAAGAAAAAAACTGAAGGCACTCACATTGAACAGTGTGGTACTTACTCAGCCACAAAAAAAAAAAAAAAAAAAAAAAAAAGGCACATCTATACAATGGGATACTACACTACTGTAAAAAAAATTAACATCATGTAATTTGCAACAACATGGATGGAGCTGGAGGGTATTTTGGTAAGTAAAATACCACATAATTTCATTTGTAGAATCATGTGAACTCTAAAAAACAGAACTAATAAACAAACAAAACAAAAAACAGATAAATATAAGAAATAAACTTGGTAGTTACCAGGGAAGGGAAAGGTTGAAGGGTGGGCAAAATAGATGAAAGGGATTAAGAGAGGTACAAACTAACTTCCAGTTATAAAGTAAGTTGTGGGATGTAATATAACATATAGGGAATATCTCTATATATAAAATTTATATATATAAAAGGCAAATATGCAAAGTGTCCCCTCAGGGGTTTGACTGGGAGACTGAGAGTTCGAGCACTCACTATGACATGTGCTGACCACCAGAGGGCAATGGGGAATGAAGGAAGTCCCTGGCTGGCAGCTGGAAGTGCACCGGGTCTCTAGTCCTATATAATAAAAGGTTAATATGCAAATTGATTGAACAGCGGAACGACCGGTCTCTATGATGCACACTGCTGTCCAGGGGCAGACACTCAATGTAGAAGTTGCCTCCTGGTTGTCTGTGCGCTCCCACAAGGGGAACTCTGCTCAGCCAGAAGACAGGCTCATGGCTGGTGAGCGGCAGTGGCAGTGGCCTCTCCTGCCTCTGCGGCAGGGCTAAAGATGTCCAACTGCCAGGTTAGGCCCGCTACCTACCCACAAGGGCTCCTAGACTGTGAGAGGGCATAGGCCAGGCTGAGGGACCCAGGACTCTAGTATATCCTATCTAATAAAAGAGAAACATGGTAATTAGCCGTACCTCCAACACGCTTCCCATTGGCTAATCAGGGCGATATGCAAATTAACTGCCAGCCAAGATGGTGGCCGGCAGCCAGGCACTGAAGCAAACAGGAGGCCTGCTTGCTTCAGTGATGGAGGAAGACAACCTTCCCCGCCTTCCACTCTGGGCTCTGAGCTTGCTCTCTAAGAAACATTGTTGCAAATATAGAAGCTAAATAAAACCCCAGAAACCTGCTTTTAGTCAGCCGGGATCTCAGAGCTGGAGTCGCAACAAAGTTTCAAATACAAAAGGTAAACAAAGGCCAGAAACCTGCTTTAGCAGCCGACGTCTGAGCTAAAGCCGACTCTCAGCTCCAGTGACAGCCATAGAAGGTAAATAAATCCCAAAATAAAAAAGAAAAAGAAACAAAGGACAGGTTGGGAGCTTCAAGACCTGCCAGCCTGAAAACGGCCCTCAGCGCCTCACCCAGACTGGCCAGGCACCCCAGTGGGGACCCCTCACCCTGAAGGGGGTGTGACCAGCTGCAAACAGCCATCATCCCCTCACCCAGGCTGGCCAGGCACCCAAGCGGGACCTCCACCCTGATCCAGGACACCCTTCAGGGCAAACCAGCCAGCCCCCACCCGTGCACCAGGACTCTATCCTATATAGTAAAAGGGTAATATGCCTCCCGGCACCGGGAGCAGTGGAGCAGTGAGTCCTCCCAGCACCGGGATCAGCAGAGCCACGAGGCCTCCTTGCCTGGGATCAGTGGAGCCACAAGGCCTCCTGAACCCGGATCAGCGGAGCCGGGAGGGCTCCTGGCACTGGGATCAGCGGAGCCGCGAGGCCTCCTAGCACCGGGCTCAGCAGAGCAGCGAGGCCTCCCAGCACTGGGATCAGCGGAGCCACGAGGCCTCCTGGCCCCTGGAGCAGCGTGATAGGAGGCAGCGCCCAAACCCCAATCGCCCTGTGGCTCTGTGTGTGACAGGAGGTGGGGCCACAACCTCCCTATCCGCCCTGCTCTGTTCGTGAAAGGTGAAGGCATCCCAACCCCCAGATCGGCCCTGCTCTGTGCCTGATAGGGGGGAGCTCCCCAACCACCTGAACGGCCCTGCCCTGTGTGTGACAGGGTGCAGCGCCCCAACACCCCCATGGGTCCTGCTCTGTGTGTGACGGGGTGGAGCCTCAACCTCCCCATCGACCCTGCCCTGAGTGTGAAAGGGGGGAGTGCCCCAGCCCCCGATCGGCTGTGCTCTGTGGGTGACGGGCGGCACCCCAACCTCCCCATCGACCCTGCCTTGAGTGTGACAGGGGGTGGCGCCCCAACCCCCTAATCGGCCCTACCCTGAGTGTGACTGAGGGTGGCATCGCAACCTCCTGATTGGCCCTGCTCTGTGCGTGACAGGGGGAGCTCCCCAACCCGATTGGCCATCCTCTGTGTGTGACAGGGTACGGAGCTCCAACCCCCTTGATGGGCCCTGCTCTGCGCGTGACGGGGCAGCGCCCCAATCACCTGATCGGCCAGCTCTGTATGTGACAGGGGTGGCACCACACTCCCCTGATCTGCCCTGCTCTGTGCGTGACGGGGGGTGGCGCCACAACCTCCCCATCGACTCTGCCTTGAGTGTAACAGGGGGCGGCGCCCCAACTCCCTAATCAGCCCTGCTCTGAGCCCGACCAGGAGCTGCGGGGCAGGCACCTAGGGATTGGGCCTGCCCTCTTCCACCCCGGAGTGGGCCTAAGCCAGCAGGTCGTTATCTCCCGAGGGGTCCCAGACTGTGAGAGGGCAAAAGTGGGGCTGAGGAACACGTTTTCCCCCCGACCACCACCGCCGCCAGTGCACAAATTTTTGTGCACCGGGCCTCTAGTATATTTATAAAAGCCTAAGTGACCAGATGACTGGCCGGTAGTTATGATGCACACTGACCACCATGGGCAGATGCTCGACACAGGAGCTGCCGAACAACAGTAACTTTGCAGAGTGCCCTCTTGCACTACGGGACCCCTCAGGGGATGTCAGACTGCCAGTTTCGGCCCAATCCCCACAGGCCAGGCCGAGGGACTCCACCTGCCGGAGGGACCCCACTCACTTCGCAGACATCTTTTGAGCCCCAGTGCCACCCCAGGTGTAGCCAGCCTGTGAGGGACTGTGGGAGGTTCACTCCAGGGCATGTCTGGCCCATCTCGCTCAGTCCCACCCCCGCTGGCCACCTTCTAATTAATTTCCTTTCAATGTGCACGAATTCATGCACCGGGCCTCTAGTTGTCAATAATCAATGTAACAACTTTATATGATGACAGAAGGTAACTAGACTTATAGTGGGAATCATTTATTAATTTATATAAATATCAGAATTACTTATGATGTACATCTGAAGCTAATGGGTATTGTAGGTCAATTATATGTCAATAAAATTTTTTTAAAATCAACCCACAACAACAATGTGGTACTGTCATAATGACAGACATATAGACCAATGGAATTCAATACAGCACCCTTCCATATTCAGTTAAATGATTTTTGACAAGGATACCATGACCATTCAATGAGGAAAGAAGTCTTTTTGACAAATGATGCTGGGAAAACTGAATACCCCATGCAAAAGAAGTTAACCATATTTTTTCAAAAAGTTAACCTATATAAAAGTCAACTCAAAATGGATCAAATAATAAAACTAGGAGCTAAAACTGCAAAACTCATAGAAGTAAACATTCAAGAAAAGCTTCATAACATTGAATTTGGCAATGACTTATTGTATATGACATTGAAAACACAGGCAACAAAAGCAAAAATAGACAAAGTGGACTATATAAAAATCTAAAACTTTTCTGCATCAAAAAACACCATCAATAGGGTAAAAAGGCAACCCACGGAGTCAAAGAAAATACCTACAAATCATATTATCTGACAAAGGATTATTACACAAACCATATATAGAACTACAAAGCAACAACAAAAAAATACCAATCTAATTTAAAAATGGGCAAAGGACTAGAATAAACATTTCTAAAAGAAGATGTAGAGATGACCAATAAGCATATGAAAAGATGCTCAACTTCACTGATCATTAGGGAAATGCAAATCAAAACCACAATAAGATATCATTCATAACAATTAGGATGACATTAAAATAAAACAAAATAGCATGTTGGCAAGGATGTGGAGATACTGGAACCCTTCTATATTGCTGATGGGAATGTATAATGGTACAGTCACTGTGTGGACAATGGATAAAAAAGTTAACAAACTAGGTGACTCAAAATGAGCAATAATACCCACTTCTTTCCTCTTTACCAAAGAGTGGGTAAGGCTTATTATGTGAACCAAGTACTTTTGGCCAACAGGTTCTGAGCCACAGTATATCTACTTAGAGGGGATTTAAAGATTATTTACATTCCTATCTAGTACAAATTGTTATACATTTATTTCAGCCCATATAGTTACCTACATGGGAAAATTTAGAATAAAGTTTTTTTTAAAAAACTAAGATTATAAATTAAAAAACTCAAATTATTCATAACACATTTGAAATTCCTAACTTTAATAAAATCTAAGATTGCTACATTGTCCTTAATTATATGAATATATGAAAATCTGTATTACACATTTAAGAACAATATTAAAGATCCAAATTAGTTTTTATACTTACTGTGTAATATAACTTTGAGCTCAACCAGTAGTTTCTTTGACCCTCCATGACCTGTTCCTGGAAGCTTTTGCATTGCTTCTCCTTTTTTATTCAGTATTTCAATCCTTAATGCACCTATTATACCAAAATTTAAAGTAAGAGTGTCTTAGTTACACCCAATAATGTGATGAACTTGCCAGGTCTTCACACTGCATTTTAATTTTTCATGGTCTTTTACATATGGGGAATGTAAAACACAAGAAAAGCCTTTTTTCAGTATTAAGAAAAAAACAAACAAAGCAAAAACATACCAATGGTAGTTCCAGCAGGCCTAATTTCATTTGGAAATAATTCATCTCCTTCAGGCCAAGTTACTGACAATCTATCAGGAAGCCTAATAGGAAACCGGCACATTAATGTTTAAGCCCACATTTTAAAAAAATTAACATTTTGAGTATTTCTCCATATTATAAATTATTTTGGTACAAAACACTTTAGTTTCACAAACTATGTTAATTATGATGTTAATTAGAAAATAGAAGTTACAAGAAATTTCCGCATTTCTCATATATTTTCAAAGGTTAAATCTGGCCGAAACCGGTTTGGCTCAGTGGATAGAGCGTCGGCCTGCAGACTGAAGGATCCCAGGTTCGATTCCGGTCAAGGGCATGTACCTGGGTTGCGGGCACATCTCCAGTAGGAGATGTGCAGGAGGCGGCTGATCGATGTTTCTAACTCTCTATCTCTCTCCCTTCCTCTCTGTAAAAAATCAATAAAATATATTTTTTAAAAAAAAGGTTAAATCTGAACTTCTATATGACTAATAATCTAAAAGTTTTCTCCACCTTAACCATCACTGTGGCTACTGAAAAGTCAGGCAAAACCTCTTGGTATTAAGAGCCAGAAATTGTCAATTTTTCATAATTTTTCATTTATTATAAAAGTTACCCTTTGGAGATATAATAAATTCTTAAGAACAGAAGGATTACCAGTTAGATTCAGTGAGAATCAAAATGTCCCCATCATTAGCTATACAAGAGTCACAGATAGAATTTTGTTTTTCTATTTCCTTTTACTTCTCTTGCATTAATCTTTGCCTCTCAGAAGTTACAATTTTCCTCTTGTTGTAGGCCAAAGTTGTTTTTTCTTTAACATATCCTAATCATAGTGCCTATAATAGTGATACTTGAAATATATAAAATTTCCTCTTTTTTCTGTAAAACAAATATAGGATTCTAATTTTATAACTAAAGGTCTCGATTTTTTAATGTTATTTGTCATAATATACATATAGACTACAAATGCCCTATTAGAAGAGCATAACAACACACTCAAGAATAGTTGAAAGTACTATGATCTATTCTTAATTTTTTTTTATTGTTATCATGCATCTTGAAATGAGAATTACCTTGCCATTTCATCTTCTACATATTTTTTTACAGCTTTCTCAGCAAAGGTCCTATCCAGTTTTGCAATTGGCACAATTTTTGTTTCATCATACAGTGCTCGTGGTTCCTAAATCAATAAATTAAATTTGTATCAACCTTGCAAAGAAAACTATTTGAATTTAGTTGCAATAAAAACATTCATTTATTTCTTCTAAAGAAATATATTTATCCTCATTAAATATATAAATTCATAATAGTTATTATTATTACACATCTGTGTTTATTTCTATTGTTCATGTTACCTCCTTAGGCCAAATTAAATACCATTCAAATATTAACAAGAGCATGGTATAGAGATAAAACCCACTCTAGTTTTAGAATCAGTCATTCTTTTTAAATTTTAAAGTTTTTATTGCCATTTATTCCCTCTATGCCCTCTTCTACCAACACATATCCCCCTCCATCCCTGCAATCACCATACCATTGTCCATGTCCACGTGTTCTCTCTTTTTTAAAAATATGTTTGTACTGATTTCAAAGAGGAAGGGAGAGGGAGAGAGAGAAACATCAATGATGAGAGAGATCATTGATTGGCTGCCTCCTGCACGCCCCTACTGGGAGTTGAGCCCACAACCTGGGCATGTGCCCTTGACCAGAATCAAACCGCAAGCCGACACTCTAGCCACTGAACCAAGCCAGCTAGGGCCACGAGTTCTCTTTTTACGCACTTTTTTACTCAATCTGTGCCCCCAACACCTCCTCTCCCAGAGCTGTCTCCCTGCTCTCTATGAGTGTCTATTTTGTTTCTTAGTTCAGTTTGTTCATTAAATTCCACATATGAGTTAAATCATATGGTCTTTCTCTGGCTGGCTTATTTCACTTAACATAATGTTAGCATAATTCATTCTTAAGAGAATTCTGGCTCTAGTGTTTACTAGTTTGTGGGCCTTGGATGAAATGTGCACTTTACAAAATCACTGTGATAAGTAGCAATAATATATGTATACTTGTTAAACACTGGGCATACAAAGGTTAAATTCTATAGATTATTAAAGCCACCAAATATGAAATATAAAAACGCATGCTGACACTACCCAATGGAAAAACCTGATGGCCGTTTTCTTCCCCTTTATATTTTCTTTTATTTTTTTCAAAACCTTTTGTACCTTGCCCTAACTGGTTTGGCTCAGTGGATAGAGCGTCAGCCTGCGGACTGAAGGGTCCCAGGTTCGATTTCGGTCAAGGGCATGTACCTTGGTTGCGGGCATATCCCCATTGGGGAGTGTGCAGGAGGCAGCTGATTGATGTTTCTCTCTCATCTCATTGATGTTTCTAACTCTATCCCTCTCTCTTCCTCTTTGTATAAAATCAATAAAAAATATATTTTAAAAAAGAAAAAGAAAAAACCTTTGTACCTGTATTTCTACATTTAAGCAAAAGTAAATGTTATCAACAGACTTTCAATAAATATTTTGTATTACTTGTTGTCTTACCATTGCAATTTGAACCTCTCCTCCAGTAGCATATACTTCTCCATCATGATTACCATAAAGAAAAAATTTTTCTATGCTTCCATAAAAAAGAGGAAGTGTCTTGATTGTCTTCACCTAATATTTAGTTTTGAAAGAAGACTTAATGTTAATATTTACTAAGAGAAACAGGTTTAATAGAATAATTATTTCACAGAACCATTTTATACAAAGGAAAAAACTTGGTATCTATCACTAGAAAAATGAATTTTTAAAAAATCATTCTAATATTCTAATAAGTTAGAATTTTGAAGTTCTCTACTTATTCTCAACACATTTTAAAGACATAGTACCTTTTTCATACAAAAATGTCATAGCTATGCATGTGTCTAAAAGGTCCATAACTCCTTCAAAGTAATTATTATAAATACCAAAGTATCTCAAATCTTCTTCCACCATAAAATCTGGCTTTCAGACTATCAACAACGACTTACAAACTCCAACTAGTTATCACTTCCTTCAAATAAATTAGCTTAATATTGCCTAAAGCATTTCTTTTCCTTATATGGCTTAAAAAAATCAAAGAGTAATTTCCATATCCAGCTCAGAAACTCTCAATAAGAACTATAAGAGTTGATACCTCATCCACCTTTCCAGTCTAATTTCTAAACTATTTTTCTTCACATACACATAGCCCAAGTCTACTGCTTGCTGTTTCCATGAACTTACAAATATCTTTGTCTATGTTCAAATTACCTCTCTGAGAAGGAATTTGACAAAGCTGATCACTCCCTCTTTCTTAAAACTCTTCAATTGACTTCCATATTCTCCTACTTTCCTTCTATCTCACCAGCTTTCCTGTTTACTCTTGTCAGCTCCCCCTTTTTCATTCTAATCCCTAAATGTTAGAAAAACAAGAATGTAGCTACACACAGTACTTCTAAGTGATTGCATCCAAAACCGAGTTTTAAATAAATGACAATGATTCTCACGTTTATGGAGAGAATACACAACCTCCTACCTTTGTAATAATCTGTGTAAACCTGAACCTACACTTCTTTCAAGGTCCTTACAAAAGCTGTTTCCTGCCCAAAGAATTTCATGATTTGTACTCTTCTCCTAGACCCATGGTCGGCAAACTGCGGCTCGCGAGCCACATGTGGCTCTTTGGCCCTTTGAGTGTGGCTCTTACACAAAATACCACGTGCGGGCACACATACAGTGCGATTGAAACTTCGTGGCCCATGCACAGAAGTCGGTTTTCAGTCTGGGTGAGTCTATTTCGAAGAAGTACTGTTGATATTTGGCCCTGTTGACTAATGAGTTTACCGACCACCGTCCTAGGCCCATCCAAAGTCAGAAAATTTTCTCCTCACCTTCTAAATTGTCAAAAAACTATTCATCCTTTTTTCATAGTAGTTATCACCTTCTGACCTATTATTATTTACTAGAGACCTGGTGCACAAAAAGTTGTGCACTCGGGGGGTCCCTCGGCCCAGCCTGTGCCCTCCCGCAGTCTGGGACCCCTTGGGGGATGTCCACCTGCAGGCTTAGGCCCGCTCCCCAGGGGATTGGGCCTAAGATGGCAGACAGACATCCCTCTGGCAGCCCGGGAGCCCTCGGGGGATGTCCACTTGCCAGCGGGGACCAGGCCTAAGCTGCAGTTGGACATCCTTAGTGCTACTGAGGAGGCGGGAGAGGCTCCCACCACCACAGCTGTGCTGGAAGCTGGCAACCTGGCTTGTGGCTGAGCAGAACTCCCCCTATGGGAGCGCACTGACCACCAGGGGTTAGCTCCTGCATTGAGCATCTGCCCTCTGGTGGTCGGTGTGTGTCATAGTGACCAGTCATTCCCAGTCGTTCTGCTCTTAGGGTTAATTTGCATATTACCCTTTTATTACATAAGATGTTTAGGTTATCTATTTTTAAGTTGTAATCTCACTAAAGACAACACACATCTAATAGATCTCTGAATTCTCCACAATGCAAAACCTATAGCAACTTACAAGAAGCACATAATAAAATTTGCTAAAAAGTTATAATTTCAAATCACATTGAAAATATCTATTTGAATAAAGTTTATTGCAAGAAACAATAAAAACCTTGCTAACTGAGTCTTAGGCAACAAGCAAGTTTTTTTTTTGTTTTTGTTTTTAATGCCATGTTAAATTATGGAATTAAAATCAGTTTGACCTTTTCATTTTTTCCTGGCTCCTGAGGAACCAATCAATACATACATTATTTTTAGTTGTTGTTAAATTCTAATACATCCAACCAATGTCACCCCAATAAATTCAATAAAATTTTAAATTCTAATGCATCTATTAGTTTCAAATTCTACTAAATACTGAATCTAAAAAAAGTTAAACCTACCATCTGTCCTGCTTTGTATATTTTTCCATCCCATTCTATTGCTGAGTATGTGGCCCAGGGGCCCTGCTTTTTAGAAGGAAGATCAGAACGTGTAATTATTCCTTTAAAAAGTGTAAATTTTATTTGTTTGTCATACTTTTCATGACAGTCTTTGAGCCAGAAAGAAAATTCTCTGTCAATTTTCACTCGTTGCTCCTGTAAAATTTAAAAACATTCTATGAAATATAGTTAACATATACAACCATGGACACTTGTCATTCATTCCATTTTTTCTTTCCCACCCAGAAAACCTAATAAAAAGCTAAAATATTTTGCTGGATTTTTCTCCCATACAAATTTAGATTTCTAACAAAACCAGTATTACAGAAAGCAAATCTTTATTATCATCTTTGGAACCAAGTCTCAATGGTCAACACCAACAATAAAACTTTACTTCCTTGCTTTAAATTTTAGGGTACAAAAAAAATTATGAACAGCAGAGGCAATGAGAAAGGGGTAAATGGAACCCTTATCACTGTGAATCATGCACATTCTCAACAGGGTAATAAATAACTTTTTATGTATCAAGAACAGAGATACATAAATATAGTACATAAACATATGTAAGGCATATCTATGGTATTAAAATATCATGGGGGAAAGCAATAAGAAAAAAAAAGTGTAAAAAAGGTTCCTGATGAGGGTGATAATTAAAAAAAGGGTTGAGAAACCCTGCTATGCAAAACACATTTTTCCTTTTAATTATGTAATGCATATTACCTATCCCAAAAATTAAATCATAAGGTAAAAACAGTGTTTTCTAATAATACATAATACAATATTATTGCTTATCATTCTTCACCCTGCTGGGAAATAGTTTAGAGATTTATACTCAAACATAACCTGCAATATATTGTTAAATGCCTGTCTTTAGAAGAATGAATAGGAAAAACAATCTCCATCCACATTACATGCTTTTACAGAAGACAATGCACAAAATTACAAAAGTTCATTTCTTTCTCCATCCCTTTCTCCGTATTATACTATTTCCAAATGAAAATGGGGCAAAATTAAAAATGATTTCAGCTTTGAATAAGAAATACATGTACTTGGTAAAAACTCAAAAATGGCAAGTTTCAAAGAAAACTTCCCCAAATACTTTTCCCGGGTACCAACTCCTTTCCGAATAGCAAAACGCTGTTGTCACTTTGTCAACTTGACAGGGATGTTAACATTATTAGCTAGGAATGGAACAGTCTGGGTACATTTTTACACTGCACTTCAATGTATAGCCTGTGTATTAGAAAAAATTATTCTAAGCTAAAATGTAAAGAAGTCTTAGGATTCATTAACAACCAAATTACCAGATGCATTAATTAATTGCAGACATTCAGTAATGTGTTAAAGGAAAATGTTACAAGTGTGGCAAAATGACAGTTAATCTAGGAGAGGAGTATGTGGGTACCCATTGTAATATTCTTTCAACTTTCCTATGTATTTAAAATTCCCAAAATTAGAAAATACATATTTAAAATGCAATGTGACAAAGAAACAGAATTAACCTATTGTGGGTAACTTTTGGAAAGACCAAATTGTTCAATAAATGTTGGACAGTTAATAGTAATATATCTATCATGTGTAAGTACAAGTAAGACTTTTCTCAGGGGTAATTCTTTAAACGTATCTTAATCTTCCATGATTCAGAATCTTTTAACAGCAAAATGAATGTCAACATCTTGTAGGAATGACTGACTATAAATACTGTAGGCTATTGTGTTTACTGTCCAGCAATTTTAGGTTCACAACAAATTCACCCATTTCTTTGCAACTCAACACTGAACTACTGAAAGAGTAGTATATCAAGTAAAAGTTTCTGAAGTATTTGGGTAGAAGAAAAATACAACAGTACACTAGTTCCACTCAACTTAAAAAAACAAAAGCTATCATTCTTATTTTATCAATCAATGCATGTATTTTAAAACCGACCAATATCAAATCACCTTTTAGCCCAAAATATTTCAGTTCTACCTCAACTTCACCCTTAAGATTAGATTAAAATTGCATAGTTTGGTTATTAAAATACAAAAACAGCCCTGTATTAGATAATATTGTTCTTATATGCTCTCATTAAATGGATATTCTTCTATAGCTCCTATTCACTATGGTCATGGTCTTGATATTAAGATTTAATAAAGAACTTTATATTTTACCCCAAATCATCTAACCATTAGCCATTTTTAAAACTTTGTTTTTAAAATTGAGTTTTAGAAGGGGGGGAAGAGAAACATTCATTTGTTGTTCCACTTATTTATATATGCATTAGAGGCCCAGTGCACAAAAATTTGTGCACTTGGGGAGGGGGGTCCCTCAGGCCAGCCTGTGCCCTCTCGCAGTCTGGGACCCCTCGGGGGATGTCCACCTGCTGGCTTAGGCCCACTCCCTGGGGGACTGGACCTAAGCTGGCAGAAAGACATCCCTCTGGCAGCCCGGGAGCCCTCGGGGGATGTCCACTTGCCAGCAAGGAACAGGCCTAAGCGGCAGGCGGACATCCTTAGTGCTGCTGAGGAGGCGGGAGAGGCTCCCACCACCACCGCTGTGTTGGCAGCCATCAGCCTGGCTTGTGGCTGAGCAGAGCTCCCCTGTGGGAGTGCACTGACCACCAGGGAGCATCTCCTGCATTGAGCTTCTGCCCCCTGGTGGTCAGTGTGTGTCATAGTGACCAGTCATTCCCAGTCGTTCTGCTGTTAGGGTCAATTTGCGTATTACCCTTTTATTATATAGGATAGAGGCCTGATGCATGGGTGGGAGGCGGCTGGTTTGCCCTGAAGGGTGTCCCAGATCAGGGTGGGAGTCCCGCTGGGGTACATGGCCAGCCTGGGTGAGGCGCTGAGGGCCATTTTCAGGCTGGCCCCCCTCCCTTCAGGGTGGGGGCCCCACTGGGGTACCTGGCCTGCCTGGGTGAGGGGCTGATGGCCGTTTTCAGGCTGGCCATGGCCACCGGCTGGAAGCAGGTATCTGGGATTTATTTAACTTCTATAATTGAAACTTTGTAGCCTTAAGGGGAGCCCAGGCTCCCAGTGCTTCCTTGAGCAGAGGCCAGGCCAGTTGGAAGCAGGTATCTGGGATTTATTTATCTTCTATAATTTAAACTTTGTAGCCTTGAGCGGAGCTCCGGGCTGGCCAGGGCAGGTGGGAAGCTTGGCTTCCTCCATTGCCAGGACAACCAAGCCTCCTGCTGGCTCCAGCTCCGTGGCCGCTGCCATCTTTGTGATGGACTGATGGATTGAGGGTGTGATAGTTAATTTGCATATTATTCTTTTATTAGATAGATTGGTTGATTACTGTATGTGCCCTGACTGGGGATGGTATGAACACATAAATCCTCATAGGAAAAATTTACACATATTCTTTTGATTAAATAAAATGAAAAGT